ACTTTTCAGCTCCTTCACAATCCGAATTTCCTTTTCGTTGGCGCGACTTTGTTCCTGTCCGTCCTTGATTATGTTCGATGTGATAGTCCTAACCGTATTGTGTGACAACGTTGGAAGTGTCTTGGTAATCGCTGTCTCTACGTCAATGATGATCTGCTCCACGTCTGGCTTAGTTATAACCGCGTATTCTAGCCCCTTGTTGAGGTGTGTCAATTGTTCTTCCGAGAATGCGGTCGTCGATCGGTTGACAACCAACCCATCAATGGAGTGAACCCTCCGCATCGTGGTGATGTTTGCTATATAGTCGTCTGATGCTATCCTTGATGAACTCTGCTTACATCCTCTTAATTACGCTGGATGGGGTTGGTGTCCGTACCTTAATCCCATGGCTTATAGGAATTCAACTTTACTCAAGAAAACGGACACACATTGATACTGTAAAACATGAAGAACTAAACTTCAGGATAATTTTGAGAAATTAAAGTATAGTATGAAGCTGTATGGAGTTCTACTTGTTCAATGAATTATTCAAGGCATGGTACAATAGTGCCTTGATGAGGTTGAAGATTATCAAGACCTGAACTTCAGAATAATTTGGAGCATTAAATCATTTTGTTAACGCAACGATGCATATCACATGACGTTTTGTTGGTGCTTGAAATCGTACAGACTCGTACATTTATTCGAAATATCGATCAAACATTTGTTAAGCCTATAGAAATTCAAAATAATTCTTCCAGAACAACTTCCAGGCAAGGGCTTTGCGTGGTAAAAATACTCAAATTAACCCTCTATTATTTAAAAATAATCACAAAGCTTATGGTGCTGGGCTTACTGGGAATGCCATTAATTAATAAAACAAATTACATCAACACGATTCGATAGCTTTCGTAAACGAAACCGATCAATAGCCCATGACCCATTTTTTCGGTACTTTCAAGATTTATGTTATCACCCCATCCAATCTACACACCAGAGGGGTTATGGACAGTGAACTGATAAAACGAAACATTCAGCACCACACTCCAACAAACGGCATTTTAGTCGTCCCGCTATGGCAGCCCGGGGGGGTTCCTCTCTAATTCAAGCTTCAGCGTCATATTGACATCGCCCTTGGTCGTAAAACTTCTGCCGGAGTCAGCAGTTTTATAGATTTAGGATTGGATTTTTGCCACTTGATAGCTCTTTAAGTGCTCGACGGGAGAGGTTGTAAACATATCCTTTTCCGAGTTTGACGTGACATTTTCCGCAGAACTAATTTGCATGCGGAAAAATATTGCCCAACGGATATCCCTATCGGAATCGCAATCTTCAACGTTATCGGAACAAACATCTTGTTTTGGTGTATGTGTGCCAATCGGTATTTGCTCTGGAACCGGTGCCAAGCCGTTCAGCCAATTTGTTTCCATTCCGATATGTTTTCCCACTTGGCATTAGCCTACCAGTCACACCCACACCTCGATCCAACAACCTGTTTTGTTACTCAGGAAGCTTGCTCAAATCCAGACGTACGTGCCTTTTTAGCGTACATACATATTACACACAAAAAGGTAAGCCTGAACGAGCTCAATCGAAAATGAGGCGAAAATATTCAATAAACCTTTCGGGGTGGCGCCACTGCGAAATTCCTTGGCATTTTACACACGCACTCTATTATATTCGATCGCAACACAATTCCCACCCCCATTCGGCCCCATTCGTGCGTACCGGGGATGGAAAAAGTCAAATGGCAACAAGCAACGCAATCTGCCAGGGAGAATGTTGTGCGCGAATGCGAAAGCATATTTTCACCTTTTATGCTTGGTTATGGTGATACGAGCAGGGAAATTGCGACCGATGGGGGCTGCTTCCTGCGCGAGGTTCCAGGGTGTTTTTTTTTTTAAATTCAAATGCGAAGAAAAGATTTCTACCGTGTTGTTTGTTGGTGAGCTCAACAGAAAGGTCGTAGATGGACGATGTAGCAAACAACTTGCCTAAAGGAAATGATGATATTTTAACGGGCTGACAGGATCTTCCGGTAATCATTCATGCGTTCCGGGGGGATTGAGCTAAGGTCAGTCAACAGGAAGCTGTTTTATTTGGCCTTGTCCAATTTTGCTGGCGCAATGACCCTCAACTCCGTTGAATTGCTGAAATCTCATGATTCATTAAATGTTGTTGTTTTTTTTTCAACAGAATGCTAGCAGATATCGTGTTATTCCAACGAATCAGCTCCATAAATGGATCCTCCAATTACACTGTTTACCATTAACGATTATCGAATCAATTAAATTTATCGCCACTTTAGACTAATTACCTATATCGACGGTCGCCCACACAACGCGTTCATTATGCCATTTGCAGAAGGTTTCAAAAACAACAACACCAACTGAATGCGTGAGAAGCAGAACCAAAGCAGGGCAAACATTTTGTCTGACAATGGCCGGTGAAAATTACACTCCGTCCTATCAATTGGCGGTCTCTAGGGTACAATATCCAACCAACTCACACTCCGACCGTTTTTGTCATTACCACCCACCAACAGCAACTACACACGCACACATGTACAACAAATTGAGCCAATTTGCTTTTACGACCCGCTAGAAAGTACACGCACAACACAACACCTGCGTGGCAATCCTTAACGAGTGCATGCCTGCCAGCAAAAAATAAAATCATCTTTAAAAAAAACCTCGTGGCAACAATTCCATCGCATTCAACCTGTAAGTTGAAGGTAGACGGCCTGCAATCCAATAAACAGTCGACAACTGTCAATCATCCTACGATCAAACGAATCCATTTTATCGTCTGCTGCCTAGCCCCTAGTCTGCTACCGGGCAGTTCCAGGCCAAATAGTAAAAAAAATGTAGATTTTAGCTCTCAGAATTCCATGAAACTTCGGAAAATTGTTCTCTAAAGCTGGGGACTAGGCAAGTCGAATGATGAACTCAGTTGAATTCAATTGGCTTGGAAAATTGAGCCTGTTTCAACTTTTTTCAATTCAAGTGTGTTGATTAAGTCAGTTGAATGGCATGGTTAACAAGTTCAATTCGCGTTCAAGTCAGCTGCATTCTACTGACATGCCCTGTCTAAACCCAGCTTAACAGTTCCAACCTGGATCGGGTATCAAGATTGGGTCTGCTTGTTTTCTGACAAACGTCAATTTGCTCGTTTGTTTTTAAAACCTAGCTCAGGTTGAGGTTCGCACTGACAAAAAGTTCTGTTTTGCACTGCACAGCAGTGGGCCAGGAAAAAATCAATAACGCTCTAGGATTGCATCCAATTGAGTTGTCGTATTGAGCAAAGTTTCTTGTCCAATTTGGATCTGAGTCAAACAATATATTTCATTTAAAGAAATACAGCTCTTACTATTTTATTATGTAGGTACTTAATTTACTATTGCAATAGATTTTGAACTTCATAAGGAAAATTTGTCTTATCAACTTGATAAAAAAAATCTTTTTTTTATTGTCATTACAGGATCAGAAGTCAGTAAAAGCCTTTTGAACACATCTTCAATGTTAGCAAGAAATTTTCTAGAATGATACTCTCAGAATTTACGGATGCTTTTATTGCGTTATCGCTCTTGAGCCTCTTTTGACACCATTCCGATTGGTATTTCGGAATGGCTTATTATTGTTGATCCATGTAAAAGAATTCTGTGCACGGAAGGTGAAAGGGGGTAGTATGGATAGTACTGTATGAACAGCTTTCCAGTTTTTTGACGTAGTACTACGTCTTTGATTTCTATATGGGGGTACACTTTGTGAAAACCGAAAATGGAACATGTAACAAATTAAGAAAGATTTTGAACGTTAATAACTCAGCTGCCCCTGGTCCAATTTCAATAATTTTATCACCTTTCGATCAGAAATATGGCTACGCATCGATAACAATGCTTCCGAATGTTGATGTTCAGCAAGAAACTATTGAAAAACTGGTAAATGTTCAGCATTGTCCAAAAGCGTCGAATTAACTAACAAATCCACCAATTACCTACATGCATAAGCTGCTTCCCCAGCACAGTCGCCAGAGAGTAGTAAGTAGACGAAACAAGTCGAAGTGGCATTCGCCTCCGATCCTCGGGCGCGTGCGGATAGGGAGGATGGAATTGCGTAATATTTTGCGCACTCATCTCCATACTCAAAACCACACGCTCCCAATGACCACACATAATGCTCTCCAGAGTGTTATCTTGTACCAAACATGGAAACAGGGGATACACTCAAAAAATATATCACAAATGTAATGCATGAAATCCTCGTGAATTTCACTAAGCTTTCAAAAAAAAAAAAAAAGTTGACAACCTAAAGAAATCGTTAATGGACTTTGTCGTTCAGTTTTTTCCTGAAAAGTTTTGTAAATAAGCTAGAATGAAATAAAAAACTTTTTTTTCCCATACAGTTTTAACCGCTTTACTACCAATCCCCAGAGAGCCAAAACATTAAAATTTGAAAGAGAAAATTCACTCTCAATATCTCAACATTCCATGTACTTTGATGACACTCTGTAACATTTTGTGGGGGAGGAAGGATTAACATTTGAAGTCCCTCCCATTTAGCATATTCTGCATAAAAAATACATAAAAATTCAGCCTGTAAGAAAATACTATTTATCAAAAATTTCTAGGAAAAAAAAACTAAACGTTAATGAATGATTTTTGACTTATTTTCACCATAATATGCATCCAAAGCGTTCCATCCACTTTTCCAAATTTCTAACTTACTATCAATGGAACAGCGCCATCAATGATAAAAAATAGCCATGACTTGGTGAAAACTATTTTTGTAGTTCTTTAAGAAATCTATTCCAACTCTTTTTTTATATGAACTTAGTGGCCCTGAAAAGGGCCGGTTTGGTAAGATTTTCGACGGGGAAATTAAGCGCGTTCACCACGGATACGACGAGCCAGCTGGATGTCCTTTGGCATGATTGTGACACGCTTGGCGTGGATGGCACACAGGTTGGTATCTTCGAACAGACCGACCAGATAAGCCTCGCTAGCTTACTGTAGAGCCATAACAGCTGAGCTCTGGAAGCGCAGATCGGTCTTGAAGTCCTGGGCAATTTCACGGACCAGACGCTGGAAAGGCAACTTGCGGATCAGCAGTTCGGTCGATTTCTGATAACGACGGATCTCACGCAGGGCGACGGTGCCTGGCCGGAAGCGATGAGGCTTCTTTACTCCTCCGGTGGCTGGAGCGCTTTTGCGAGCGGCCTTCGTTGCCAACTGCTTGCGAGGAGCCTTTCCTCCAGTGGACTTGCGAGCGGTCTGCTTGGTGCGAGCCATTTTCCTTCCGATGTGTTCACGTTGAAAGCTAACTGTGGAATAAAAAATAAAAACGACTTCCATTCTGTTTTATAACATGCGTTTGCTGTGATCAACCAATCAGAAACGATGAAAGAACAAGAATACAACAACTAACAAGGAGAATTTAACCCTCGAGTAGGTATAAAAAAGCCGAAATTTGGAATTTTTGTTCACTTTCGTCTCAACCTTCATCAACGATAAACAAACCATCTCCAACAATGACTGGACGCGGCAAGGGAGGAAAAGGACTCGGCAAAGGAGGAGCAAAGCGTCATCGAAAAGTGCTGCGTGACAACATTCAGGGTATTACTAAACCTGCTATCCGTCGTCTGGCTCGTCGTGGTGGAGTCAAGCGAATTTCTGGGCTTATTTACGAGGAAACTAGAGGCGTGTTGAAGGTGTTTTTGGAGAACGTTATCCGTGATGCTGTTACTTACACCGAACACGCTAAGAGGAAGACGGTCACCGCGATGGATGTCGTTTACGCTCTGAAGCGACAGGGACGCACTCTGTACGGTTTCGGAGGATAAGCATCATCGACTCAGACTAAAAAACCGGCCCTTTTCAGGGCCATCAAATGAATTAAAAAGGTGATTTTGATTAACTTCCTTGTCGGATTTAAAAGGTGGTTGGGATGTGATCGAATGATGATTTTTTTCAGTTTAAGATTATTAGATTTACTGGTATGAGATCTACCCAGCTAAAATTCCTATTCCTACACAAAATACAAACTCCTGCTGCAGTTAACACGTTGTCCTACGTCATCATTGCGTACAACCCCATTGGGTTGTCCCTTGTAGTTTTCAGCGTTGACCTCGAATGCTCCTACACGCTAAGAAAAAAGTATGCATTAATGCTTAGAGTTCAACCAGTTTCGAGAAAACCCGCACATACTCATAAAATGAATAAACACTGTTTACTCATCGGATGAATAAACGCGTTTTTCTCGAAACTGGTTAAATTTTAATCATTAATGACTAAAGACGTTTTTCTCAAAAGTGGTTAAATTGTGTACACCGGAACGATTTTAAATGGTTAATTTCGTATATTTCCATCATATTTTATTAAAAATAGTAGCAAAACAACAATAATGAAGAACGTTTATTTCTTGGTGACTTCAACATGGTGACGCAGAGTTCGGGGAAATCTTCAGACTTTTGCTGCCAGTTTCCCCTCTTGAACCAACCATTCCGTGACGTAGGCGTGCCAGTACTCCATATCGCGGAAACATCGACGAAAACTTGCTGCGCATCCTAGGCTAACTCAATCAGAGACACTTCAAATTCAGCCACTTTCTACGTGTCCGGCGACCTTCCCGTTCCATTGCCCACTGAACTCGATCCGGATCGTGCTACCGTTGGAAGCCCTCTGTAATGTAGATCAAAAGTTACTAAATAATGAAAGAATGTACCTTGTTAGATATACTTACTATTAGCATCGGCCATCTCTTTGCCTGATCCCCCTTATCCCACACATCCTGTCCAACTGTACCGGACAACACTTGTAACAGCTGAATCTGCTGCTCACTAGCTCCTCCAACTTTATCGTGGAAGAATATAGGAAACGGAATAGGAGGTTTTTGTTCCAGCACTCTATTGCGAAGGAAGCAGTAATTCCTTCCCACTGCTGGCGATGATGACGACTTCTTCTGGAAGTTCTCACCACACTCTTGAAACAAAAGGAAAGTTATAAATTACTATCAAATTGTCTATTATAATGATGCTATAAACAATGTATCTACCTGCGAAAATGTTAATCATTGTTAGCCGGCGGCGTTTTCGGAAAATAATTGTTCCCAAGTTTTTTTTCAGCCACCAGTGAATAAAATTTAAACACTTTTGTTGAAAAATGGTTTTCTCTGAAAATGTCTAAATTCTATACACTTTTTTGCTATAAATTTCAACCACTCTATGACAGCTCGAACAAGCTCCCAAAAGTGGTTAAAAAAATAGTCATCAATGCATAAACTCGTTTTTCCGTGTACGTTGATTTCCAACTTAGATGACAGTGCAACTAAGGAGTGTTGAAAAACGACGAACGAACACCATTCTCATTCAATCCTGTAATAGAGGCCGTTTTTGCTGGATCCATAAAAAATCGACGGGCAGTATTGCCATAGTTTGTATTACCTAATAATAAAAAAAAATGTCAAATAAGCTAAATGTATTGGATTTTAGAGTTGGAATACGTTACCTCCAGATGGTAAGGGTTCACCGGGTTCACTGATTCTCAGCCCAATCTTTTTGAATTCTTGTTTGATTGCTTTCTGTCGTTCTGCAAATATTTCGTTTCCCTTATTCACCGCCACTTTTTTAAGGGGATCCTGTAAGCTACATTGAGTAATAATTCCATGTCTTTAATTTGGGCACGTAAAATAGGAATGATTTCAATTTTTTTTCGGGTCATCAGAAATAGGTGCATTGCTACGGTTACTTAGTGCTTTGATCGAGGCGCAAATATTACATGCCTGTGAACTTGTGCCTGTGATATTACCAGTGTTGTTCCACTCACGATAAAAAAAATATCAATTTGCTCTAAAAATAGACCCGCTATCACTAGTGATATGCGATTGTAACTCACTCAACACATCAATCGCTACAATCTCAAATGATAGAAAAACTCGCTTGATTCATAATAAAAATTCACGTGAGATTTTCTGTCACTCTACTTATAACACTCACACCCGCACGGTCTTTGAATCAACCATGAATTCTTTGGCTATGCTTTCTGTCATTAAGATATTTTCAGTGTTCTCGAATGTCTTTATCTAAACGCTATTTAAAAACTACCCAAATTTGGGTAGAATCCATGCAGATCGGTCAAAGCTGAACCTACCCAGAAATGAGTAAACTGTGTTGGGAGTGACAAGTTGACAAATGAACAACGTCGATCGGATTCATGTCGATGTTCTTCATTTGTCAACTTGTCACTTCAAACACAGTTTACCCATTTTTGGGTAGGTTCAGTTTTGACCGATCTGGGTTGATTCTACAAAAAAAAAAAGTGAAAATGGAGCAACGCGCAACGCAGAGATCCAAATTCTAAGCGGCCAAGTTGAAAATGAGTGTCATCTTGCCAGGAAGAATCTTAGATAAGAGGAGACAATACGGGGGCGAAAACGAACCACTTTTCCGTCAAACGCGAACCAGATCGTGATTGGCCGATTTGAAGTGCGTAAGATAGAGATAGAGATAGAGATAAAAGAGTAAGAAGCCAGTTGTCTCCTCTTCCTCTTAGGGAAGAGCGGAAAAAATATGAATTTGAAATACATTTTTTTCCTTGTTAATCTTATGGAATGCTGTTGTGATGTCACGCAAACGTTCCATAGAACAACTTAGGAAAGAAAGAGGCGGTAAATTTAGAACGCACGATCTGTTTATCTAGTCATTCTTCGGTACAAGCAGTGTAAATATTTACATAATTTGACAAATATCAGGTAATCATGACAGCAGTAGGTCTCTTTTCTTCACTCAAATTGTAGTCAATAATCAAACGTTATGATTACCTGGGTTTTGCTAAATAAGGTAAATGTTTACATCGGTTGCACCAAAGAATAGGCGCTAGGTTACGTGTATGGAGCTTTTTGACGTTTAATCAGCGCACACTACTCTACTGTACCATCTTAATCGAAGAAGTGCAAGCAAGATGGAAACTGATTAGTGGGAAAAAATGAATCCATTAAACGTCGTGCTAGCTGCTGATCGTTTTGGCAGTTTGTTTTTCATTGACCTTTCTGACATTTATAACTAATGAGCTGGATTACCGAGGTGAAGCAATCGGTTCAGTTGTGTGAGTAAAACCCCTGTACGATAAAAGCAATTAGTGACGTCACTACTTGCGTTTACATTGATTTTTTGGTTTACTAATACAACAATATTTCACGATCTGCTTCACCTCTCTTTGTAGTTCATTGCTTTATAACACGCACACTTCACTAATCCTATTTTCGAGTAAGAAGCTTGTTATCCTCACTTTCACTGGTGGGGAGGGGGAGGGGGGGGGCGTGCTGTCACATCAGTCAACTGATCATTATTGTATGAAATTGGTTCCAAACGTAAACAAACCTTGTAGGTTTCTTATGGGTTGTTTATGTTTGGAACCAGTTATGCGAGGTAGGCGACGATTGTTCGTATTTGACAGCCACTTCCCATCTTGCACTTTCGCTCCAACCAAAAATATTGGTTTATTAATGTTATCCTCACTTTCGAAACATCAATACTCGTGCATATAGAATGTACTATTGACTGAGTGGTAGCTGGTGCACAGTGATACCACTCTCAAAGGAGTTGTACTTTTTTTCCTTGATTTGTTTTCCGTCGATCTTGTTTTCCGTGCTGAGCACCAATGCTACCGACTCCAGGGAGGCAGCTCCCACACCTGAACCCTACCACCTATCGACCCATCAACTCATGAACCCGGGACCAACGGCTTTGCTTTTCGAAGGAAGGCGTGATCAGAGATGTTATGCCTCAGAACATCCCGGTGGTGCCGACTGGGATTGAACCCAGGCCTGCTGGGGTGAGAGGTAATCACGCTTACCACTACACCACCGGCACCGCTAGGAGTTGTACTTAAAACGAAACGTTTGTGTATTTCGTTTCATTGAATGGTAAGTGCATGGGTATAATCCTTTGAGAGTGAAAATAGACAAGAATAAGTGAGTGCTGAGTTGTAATGTTGCATTGCTTGGGTTGACAGTAACTCAAATGAGTGACGTATTTAAAAATATCAAATGAGTTTTAATCAGAGCTGATATTTGGTTGGCGTGATATTTATGATACAAGTGATTTTCACAACACTGGATATTACTAATGACTTTTCCATCAACCATACTTAGTATCAGTTCTGAAGAAGCATGTATAGGAATGCCATTGAATGTGAATTCGGTTATTTTCAAATTTTTGATCTGCATCATTGTTTCTTCGACCTCTCGTTTAGTTACACAATTGTTGTTGTTCCAAACTATTTGTCGATTGCCAGACGATGGGTGAAAATATATGCGCAATGGCACTAAGCAAATTAAAAAAAAAAAACGATAGTAATTGTAGGAAGTGATATCTGTTGTCGAGCTCTTCAAAAAAGGTCATTTTATATTGTGAGTGGTAACTTGAGCCGTCACATCCCCATTTCATAATAACAGAAAAGTACCGCTGTTCTTAAAGATATGGGCAAATCGATTTATCTAAAGCCATGAATAGACGTTCTATGGTGTGATCAATTAAATTTTGTAGTAGAAATTTCTGCGCATGTTGGTCGAATACCAATACATAAAAATTTACAAACCGTTATACTATTACATAAATGAAAACTTATTTCTACTGACCAACTGGATAACAAGTGTCCTTATTTTCGCGAACTTCCTTATATGATGCATAAATATTGTATCCTTTATTGAGCGACATATTTCGTATGTTTTGGTTTTGCTGTTTTGTTAAATCATTTTCACACAAAAACCGTAAAGCTTCGTCTAATGATAAACAACTCATTTTGTCGTTAAAGTCTGATTTCACCAGTTTTTTAATCTCCGTTG